TATATATATATGTAATTTTTAAATAAATGTACTTCGTATTGTTCTTATTTTAATGGGTATTAAATTAAAGCAAAGTAAAATAGCATTAAAATTAAATATTACTTTTGAGGTTAAACATTTCCAAAATTTAATATGGTTATAAAAAAAAAAACATTTCTATTTACCATGTTTATGAGTCATTTTATATATATTTTTATAAATTCTAAATTTTACGATAACTAACGTATATTTCCATACTTCGGAGTATCGTAAACTTATAAATGATAAACTTTCGCGCATCACGGGTTCATCGATCGATAGTCGATATCCAATCAGGACTCGAATATACGTGGTTAATATCAGTTTAACCGTACGTACCATCTGACTAAACCGATATATATGTATATATATGAGGACATAACGTTTAGATATATACACGCAAATACCTAGCCTAAACCTATCGAATCTATTAACTCATGGATCTAGTTTCTTAATAATGCACGTTTCACTAAACTATCCGTCATATTCTCGAAAATACGTTTATCGTTAACCACAAAGTTTCATACATGCATATATGTACAACCTATATCAAATCGAGTAACGATAAATAACATAAGAATAATAATAAAATAAAATAAGTAATAAGAATTAAATCGGGAGACAAATGAATTTACGATAATATCTATATATGTTTAGATATATATATATACAAATGAAAAGAAGAAAAAATAAAAAAGAACGGGGAAAATATTTACGAGTTCCGTTAATCCGCAAACTTACTGCATGTACAATCGAAGAATCGAAAAACTTAACTTACTTATGATCTATACGAAAAGTAGATATTTCTTTTTTATAATCTAAAAAATTTATTGTTACTAACATCGTAAACAGAAATCAATTTGCCATAGAGACGTTAAATTTCTTCAACTACGATAAAATTTGTTTATTAATTCAGTATTCGTGATAAGAATTATTTCAATCATCTAATTATAAAATATAACCTATTTTATACATCTTTTTTTCATATATCAATGAAAAATACTCAAACGATGTTATGAAATGAACAAAATACTAAACTATTATCGATGAAAATAAAGAAAATATAGTATTATTTCTAACAATAAATAGTATAATACATAGAAAACCAAATGAAATTTAATTCATTTTCTTTTGAAGCGTAATAAATAATAATTACAGCTTAAAGCTTTGAAAGTGGAAGTTAGAAATCGTGTCACGTTAAATCTAGACGAGGGGTTATTTGATGTTTGCGGTAGCGCGTGAATCAAAACGAAAAAAGGATAATGACGACGACGACGACAACGACGACGACGACTACGACTATGACGATGGGAGGGGAGTGGAGGGGAGGGATGGTGGATATGCAATTAGCAATTAAAATCCCGATTCTAGCCGATTGATCAAACTCGTGCGATACCCTCAAGCCAATCGACTCTTGGATCACAATAACTACCGGTAATTGCGTGCTGACTCTCGACATGCCTCCCCCTAGTTGACTGACTGGATGGTTGAATGGTTGGTTGGTTGACTGGCTCGTAAAAAAAAGAGAAAAAGAAAGAGGAGAAAAAGAAAAAAAAAAGAAAAAAAAAACTAAAAACGTCACTTGTGTTCGCTCGAACGATTTAAAACGACGGATTAAAAATTTCATTCTTCACGCTGGAACTTTTATAAATCGATATCGGAAACGAGGGAGAACGTGGCTGCGGTTGCTTACCAAACGCCTATTCCTATCAAATCCAGTGGGCGATGGAAAAATTACATTATGAATCAACGGAGAAAGCTTCTTTTTTTTCTTGTTTTTTTTGTTCTGGTCTTCTTTCTTTTTTTTTTTTTATCTACACTTTTATAATAAATTCTCGTCAAATTTGATCAACGAATACACCGAGAACAAATAAAATAAAGGTAAGTACGATTAACGGGATTTATTTTCGCTATTTCCTATTTTCACGTTAGAATATTTTCTCTCCAGTTACTTTTGAATATTATAGTTCTTAAATCTATCGTAATCAAACATATTAAAGTCGAGTTAAAATTTAACTTTCTTAGTCTCTCTTTCTCTCCCTCTTTCTCTCTTTATAGTATTTTTTTTTGCTTTCTGGAATATGATTATAGAATGCACGTACGAAAAGTTGTTCATATTTATTAGGTTAGAAGAGAGGTTTCATAATGCATGATCTTTCTGGGGAAAAAAGTAAAGGGAGAGAGAATGAGAGAAAGAAAAATAAAAATAAAAGAATGTGTGAGAGATATGAAATATCGATATATGTATATGTAACAAGACTCACGTCATTTTGACCGAAGGTCGGCGTGATTGGTCCGTCGCTTGCTTCCCATTTGGCAGCGATGCGGTTCGTCTCCGCCGTTTTCTGCTGGACTGATTTCGATTCGTCTAGTAATGTCAGCTCATAAAACTCTTGAATATCTGCAACAGTAAGCAGAGAAGACATATTACTGTTTCTGTACAAGTCAAAAGTTAAAGAATCGTTTCTTGCTATATGTATATATGTATATATCACAAATCAAGGTACTGTAAGATATTTATTCGATCTATAATAATATGAGGATTTATTGAAAAATAGACAAAATATTTATTACCAAACTCTAACTCAATTTATTTTTGATTCGATAATAAAACATTTCTTGCATAGACAAAAATTTCTTACATTTCTTTCTATTTTTATTTTCTCAATATATAATACGTTATTGTAAAAAAAAAAAATATAAAATTTTTTTTAAATACCAAAAATTGATCTAGTAATCTTCAATCGAATACAAAATTATAAAAGTCGTTATATTTTTATCTTAAAATTAAATGCATCTAATATTGTAATGATAAAATAAAAAAGTATTGCAAAAAACATAAGTAAACGTACATACACACACCTAAATATGCATCTTGAAATATGTGATGATATAAAAGCTTATATTACATTATTATGAAGTAATAATTGATAGGACATATTTATAACGTAAAAAAAAATAAAAATAAAAATAAAATGTCTTATTAATTACAATCATTAGGACGATCGATTATTTATACTTGTCATAGGAAACTTTTTAGAGCAAAAAGACATTTTGAACTTGGGTCAATAAAGCAATTTCGTTTAATGGCTAATCCAAGAAGAAATAATGGTAGTCGTTAACGCGACAAGAAGGTAGTAGCGTAATTTTCATCGTTCGCCGAACATTTTCTACTACGACTTTCAACATAGTGAATCGTGTGCTGGTGGTAATCTAGCAGCTAGTCTAGGTCGATTCAATGTGCCGGCACACAACGGAAATTTATTACCGGTAACGTGTCCGAGGTAGGTCATCCAGGTCGACGGAGGTAGTAATTCCTTGGTCCATGCTCTAGTGTGCCTACGTAGTTCCAATGGGGCTCGTATGGGGCTAACAAGACACTTACATCTAACGTCGATCTTCGTCAAAGTAAATCTTTGTTCTTGTCCAATACACATTTCACGTAAGAAAAAGAAAAATAAGAAGAGAAACAGAGAAAACAATACAAATGACGTAGCATTTTAATCGTGCATACCTAAATTATCTCTATTTTCAATGCAAAAATTTGGTTGTATGTAGTAATTAAAAATATTTAATAAATAAATAAAAATAATTAATAACAAATATTAACCTATTTATATCGAGATACTATTTGTTTAGGAAATATTTGAATATTATTTTTGCCGAGAAATAATATGTGTAATATATATATTAAAATACAATCAAAGTATTATAGCAATTAATAAATAGTAGTTAGAGATGGATGGTCTTTTAACAATATTTGAACAAAAATAATATATGTAAATATTTGAACAGTTTGACGTTTTAAATTTGTTCGGTACATTTGTTTGTGAATATCAACGTAATACTACTGGACGGCAAAGTGTACAAATTAATCATTTTTTAACATACCTTAGTTAATACTATTTTTTATTTGTGTAAAATACATTGACTATACACATATGTCCATTTAAAAATATAATGACTACCTTGAAGTCTTTTAAAAGAAAAATAATCTTAAAAATAACAATTATCTTACTGTGTAATGTGTCTCTTCAAATACAATTTGAATACCATATTCTATTTAATCAAATATTGTATGGAAATCTTTGATTTCTTTTTAACTCTTTGGTAATAATTTATTTCTAAGTACTACTTGTACAATAAATGAATAATGAATGACGGAATAACGGAATGACGGAGTAGAATTTTCAACGATCTTAACCTTTAACAATTGACGATGTACTGAAAGATCGATTCGCGTTACGCGTAATAATTTCTTGTCACTTTCCGACGATGTCACGTAAATACTCGAGAATGTTTGAGTGAATGTAACCAAAACAATGTTAGACTCGCTTTGATAACAAATGTAAACAAATCGCGTTAAGAATATTCAAATTGCTTTGGTATATTGAAGTAATAGCAATTAAATAAATAAAAAAGTATTTGAAACATTATAATATTAAGTATGATACGATATAACAACTAACGTTATAGTAATAATCTTATTTATTTAACATATTTAACGAATTCATTGATTTGTTAAATCCGATCTGCTAATTAACTTCACAATTGAACTTTAAATCTGTCGATTAGAACTCCATATACATATATTTAACATTTTTGCTTCCCATAGTCTGTGTTGCTGTGATGCCGGAGTGTAATTAACGCGATCTAATTGCAGGTGGCTCGTTACCAGACCGAAAACGTGTGTTGCAAGTGAACGACGTAGCTGGGATATTAGCTTCGGAAATTGCTCACGCGAGAGTGGCTAATAAGCGATGCACTTGGGAACTATAGTTCAAAGTAGAATTTCAAAACATAATACGAAGACTTTGGTGATGCTCTTAGACATTCTCACGTTTTCTAAGATAAAAAATCATTTATTATTTTATATTAATTATATTATAAAAATAAAATATAATTAAAAAAAAATTAATAAATATAATTATAGAAGTAGAATTATAATATATTAATTATGCAATCATTATATTTTATTATTTGTAGAAAAAAATATTTCATATTTCTCTCTCCATTTTCTCTATCTTCCGGATGCACATATATTCTGATTGTAGCGTGAAATCGCAAGAATCTCGTTGAACTTTGTTACATAGCACGAATATATATGTGTGTGTATATGTATATACATAACACCTTCACCGGGGGTTAGAACAAGAACAGTAACTTTATTAAGACTAGGTACAATTATATAGCTAGCGTAACCCCTTTCATATAAACCGTGTTCTCTAGGCCGATACATCCGTTCACTTCGGCAACCTGTCAAGATCTCACTATAGTTTCACTCCGTAAACAGTTACCATGTCGCCTGGAAACAACCTTCTTGCCCTTCTTCCCAGAGTAACTTAGACTCCGGGTCGCAACAATATGTATATATAAATATAATATATGTATATATATAGTAATGTAAATAGTAATTTTAAACATGCGTGAGTAGAGAAAAGAATGTTTGGTAGCGCGAACAGATAAATTTTACCTCACCGACTTTATTCTCCTTTCTCTCTTACTCCCTTTTTCGAGTCGTCGGCCAAATTATATAAGCTTCATGCGCATTCGGGTGCGTTTTCGTTAGCCCCGACCTCATAAAATTATGCATGGAAACAGGACGAGAGCCCGTATTTTTCAACGTACTATTTCGCTAATATCCCTCTTTTTTCCACGGTTCATTCGAGCCTCCTCGAAATAGGAGAACTTTTATATGCTCGTGAGCGTATTCACGCGCTGAAAATCTCCACTTTCCTTTTTTTTACTTCCCCAACCTTCCTCTTCTTCCTCCTCATTTTTTTCTCTCTTTCATTTTTTTAAGACTCCCTTTCCTCTTTTTCTGTCTCTCTTTCTTTTTGGCGTCGTGGTAGTAACTGGGGTTGCTTGAATGTAAAGTAAGATATGTGGCCGAACCGAGAACCGAGAGAGAGAAAGAGAGCAAAAATCTCGAGATACAAAAGCCTAATTGTAAGGTATATTTTCCATGACCTCCCTTGGGATTCACGTGAAAGAGAACGTTTATTATGAACAATTTCGGAAGATATGACATTTTACTGATAGTAAATCATTACACGAATCGAATGACAGAAACGACAACGAGAAAGAGTACGATGACGATAATGACAACGAAGAGATGCTTTTGACGTGGTGAGTAATATTGACATAATACGTTTTAGACATAACTAATGGGGGTCACTTTATTAAGTTTGAAAGTTACATCCGTTCACATACTTTGTTACGTCACGGTAATTGCAATTAGTGGTACTTTCCGTCCTAACCATTTTGTACAGATACCTATATATGTATGTATCTATTATATATATGTATAATACATATGTTACCGTTAAAAACATGAAAATTTGTTAATTCACGAAATAAATAAGTATTTTATAAAACAATTATATCGAAGAATTATTATATAAAAATTGATATTTGATTCGTCCTCAAAGTTAGCTGTAACGATGCTCGTAATTATCCGTTTTTACCTCTACTTATACTTTGAAATTGAATATTCTGTAAGTTGTGTTGTTCTGATAACTTCGAACGTACCACGTTGACACAATAATTAGACACATACAATTTTTACAGACATACAATATCTAGTTATTTTATAAAACAACTAATTAAAATATAAAATATAATTCTTTTAATATAATATTATTCAGCTAAAACGTTTAATTATTTTATAAATAAGCTGAATCGTACATTTTTAATAATAACATGAACATTTAAATGTATAGGTATTATAATAGTTCGTATGTATAATAAGTAACTGGGTACTAACATCAATGAAAATCGACCGATAATTATTCGTTAGATATATTCTTCCTTGTAAATCTATACCTGTGGGCCAGACATCGAGGCATAATTGATGGAAATTACAGGGAAGAGAGGACACGCGACGAAATGTGAACGTGTAACATGTTGCGAATACTAATCGTGCGAATAATTATATTGGAAATCTACGAACAAACAGTTGCATGGCAAACAAGACACGTCACGTTAATAACGGATTCGTTCGTAATCCGTATTAATTGGTCGAATCAATAAAAGGTGAGTAAATGTTAATTCAAGAAGAGGATTATATTCGCGTTTCGCGTTTACATGAGTGGACCACTATGGTCACCAACTTTGTTGATCTTTTGTACATTTTGTAACAGTTTCTAAAATATTATAACATATAACTTATAACAGAACTAAGGAAAAGAATCAATTTAATTAATACACTGTTTCTATTCGGTCAATAAATTACTCAGCTCGTGGTTGCTATTTAGGCGCTTAAAAATCAGGAAATACAAGACAATAATCCTACCGATAGTCCTTTATGGTAGTGAAACGTGGTCACTTACGTTACGGGACGAAAATAAATTTAGGGATTTTGGAAATAAAGTTCTTCGTAAAACCTTCGATGCAAAATGC